ACACAGTAAGGATCCCAAACCTGCCCCTTCAAGCAGCCACCTCTTGGGATGTGGTGGAAGAGGGGAAGGTGGTCCTGTCTGCCCTGGGCCCCAGCCCTAATGTACTGACTCCCACCTTCTTTAATGAGGGTCATGGCATCCAACTTCTTCGTGCTTTTGTTAGTCTCCTCCAGCTCAGCCCCTGGAGGAGAAACACAGCTCAAAAGGACCACCCTCTTTCCAGAAGCCCCATCTCCTACCCAACCAGGGCTGGGGCTGGGGCCAGGGCCTGGAGCCTGCAGCCAGGCAGTAGGAAGCCCACACTCCCTGATGAGGTCCTGATGCTTAGGACCACTAGGAGAACCTTCAGTGGGTCATTCTCCAGTGCCCCTTCTTCCTCCATCTGCTACCTCTGGAAGGAGCTGGTCCCATTAGGAGGGATCCAGCCACCTTATAGACCCTTTGCTTCAAGGTGAAGTTCAGGGTTCTACTGCCAAGTAGTTGAGGGACTGTGAATAAATACCTTCCTCAGTTAAAAACAGTCCTTAATGTATTTTACTATACATCCCTGAGTCCCTTCTTGAGATTTCTCAGATGGGTCCTTTCTGCTACTCTCTGGCATCCCAAACAGAAACTCTCCCAGGTCCCCAACCTCATGAACTCAATTTTGTTCCACCTGGGTTACCAGGGTATTGTCAAAGTTACACCCAGCTTCTCAGGTCCTGCATTGTTAGGATGGCCACAGAGCAGAGAAACTATTGTCTTGGGGCCCTCTGGCATCTTCCAAGTCCCCTTGGTCAGTGATGCAAGCCCCTTCACTCTTTAGGGGGTTTTGGGCAAGGGTGGCCTTCGTACCTCCCAGTTTCTGGGTGGATGACAAAAACATCTTAGCTGTGCAAAGCAGCTTTTCCCCCATCCCCCTACCTTACTCCTCTCCCCTCCCTCCTCTACAACCCCTCCCTGTCCCTTGGAAAAAAAAAATCAATTCTGAGTCACCAAACCCGGCTGATTCCATTTCCGGTTCTCAATGCACCCAGACCCTGACAATGGCCCCATCCTAGCCCACCCAGCATGGGGCAGTCCCAGGTGGCCTGGGCTCCCACTTAGGTCTGCTTCTGACACCTATTAATAGATTTGCCCCTCTCTAGGTTGAGAAAACTGTTGACAATCTTATATAATCTCCAGATATGAGGGGTGGTGGGTTAGGCATGCAAGAGACAAGGGGCAGCTCCCACTCTCAAGTCGTTTAAAATGCAGTGATGGACAGAACTGAGCTGGGGGAGTGGGACGTCTCAGAGCAGAACAAGTGTCATCAGAAACCGCATGGAGCAGTCCTCCTCCTCCACCTCTTCTTACTTGCAAACTTCTTCAGGGGCGTGATGCCTGCTGTCACCCCAAAGGCCACGAGGCCAGGTGCCCTTTGGGGCCCAGGAGACAAAGATCAGGATAAGGGGGCTGTCAGCCCGATCACCAAAGGCACCCAGGGGCCTGGAGAAGGTGGGGTTCAGGGGAGAGAGACAAGAGGCAGGGCAAGAGGCCCGGGAAAGGACGGTGGGTTGGAGGCGTGGAAGGATGGACAGAAGGAGGGAGAAAGGAGGATAGATAGATGGATAGACCAACGAACTAACGCAGAGAAGGCGGGGGTCCTGTAGCACCTCAGCCAGCAGGCAAAAGCCGAAAAGGAGCAGGAGGTGTGGGGCAGAAGGCGAAGGAACAAGGGGGGCTGAGAGTGGGAGGAGGGCACAGAAGTGGGGTGCGTGGGAAACACGTGGAGAGGACTGTTGCAGATGGGGAAAGCCCGAGGCAGGTGCAGGAGGGGCAAAAGCTGGAGGACAGCAAGCATGGAGAAAGATAAAAGCAAGCACATGTGGGGCAGGTATTGGGCACCGGCTGAGGCTGAGGTGGGCAGGGTGGGCTGCAGGCGGCGAGCCGGCGCTAGGACCCGGAGGCGCGAAGGAGGGGAGCGGGCGGGCACTAGGACCCGGTGGGTCCTTTGTTTGGGGGGCCGGGGAGCCGGACGGCGGCTCCTGTCGGCAGCTCCCCTCTGCTGGCGGGGACCCGGAGGGGGGGGAGGGGAGACAGTGATGGGGTCCCCGGACTCTAGGGGAGCTTCACTCACCGTCGGCCGCGGGCAGGTCGGCCCGTTCCACCCACGAGCTCCAGCTCTGTCCCGCGAAGTCATCGAGACTCGGCACCCGCCGCTCCAGAGCGGCCATTGCTGCCGCCGCGCGTTCACGCACCGCCATCACCGCCGCGGACGCGCGCCCGCCCCGGCGCCGCCGCCGCGCGGCCCCCACCCCCAGTCTCGCCGCGGGCACGCCTCTCCTCTCCCTCCCACCTTTGCAGCTCACTCTGCACAAGCGCAGCACAGGTCGCCTTCCCCTCACCCTCCCTCCTTCATAGCCTTCTGGGAAATGTAGTCTGGAAGGTGCTGTTGCCTACGGAGCTTGCGGCGAGAGCCCCTCCGAAACGCATAACTGCGGGGGAAAAGAGACCGAAGCCCCAGGACCTCCTTTCCCAGCCCTTGTACACACTTTCTTTCTGCTACCAGGCCACTCAAGTTCACGGCGCACACGCCCCAGCCCCTCTAAGCCGTGCCTCCGCCAGCTGGCTGGCGCCCTTTTCCGGGCTGGCGGCTACCAAGCGACTTCGCTCCCCTGTAGAGGGAAAGGGGTAGGTGCAGGGAGGTGGGCGCTGTGAATCAGAAGGGCATGGTGAGGGAGTCTGTAGGATGTGCTGAAGGACACAGGGTTGGAGTGGGGGAGGGTCCGCGGCTCCCGTGTTGTGCCTCCTCTGTGGGAACCCCACGCTGATGCAGAGCAGAGGGTTGGAGTAGCGTTGTCTGGGTTTGGGGGACCTAGCTGAGCTGACTGAGATCACCTGTCAGGATGACAGAAGGCTACCTCGGAGCCAGAGCCAGCCTCAGAACTGGGTTTGCAGCATCTCTGCTGATCATCTCTCTCCTCCTGAGCACTGCGATCGATACCCTGTACCGCCTCTTCCCAAACCCTGGCTGGACCCTGACTCCATCCATCACTTGGCTTCTTTTCCTAATGAATATTTTCTCTGCTGGAAGGGCTGCTACCAGAGCCTCGGCATAGGGAGATTTCTCATCAGATCTGTCATTTTCCTTGCTAAGGACTGGAAAATACCTTAATCATCCACCTCTTTCTTCTCAGCTGATAACATTTTTTCCCACCCTCACACAATCAAGAGACAAATGCCTGCCCCTCCCTATCACATCAGAAGAAAGATACTAATTCTCTTTTTCCTCCAGCCCTCACATTTCAGCCCATATTCATGCCTTCGGCTAAGGGGGAACCAAATCTTGTAGGTAAATAAAGCAAGGTCCGTGACTTCAAGACCTCAGACTTCTTCTCACTTTCCCCTTAAGAATGAACTCTGAAGGCAGGGATTCTTAACCTGAGAACCAGAGATGATTCCGAGGGTGTCCAGGAACCTGGTGAAATTGAATGTAATGTGCCCAGGTGTATTTTTCTAGGGAATATAAATGTAGCATGTGACTGTCAGAAGGGGGAGAGAGGTGCAAGTTTGTTCAGCAAGAGCCTTTATAGTTAAGAGGGCAAGCAGCCCTGGCCGGTTTGGCTCAGCGGTTAGAGCGTTGGCCTGCGGTCCGGAGAGACCCGGGTTCGGTTCCCGCTAGGGGCATGTACCTCGGTTGCAGTTTGTCCCCGGCCCTGGTTGGTCGTGCGGGTGGCAGCCACTCGATGTGTCCCTTTCACATCGATGTTTCTCTCTCTCTCTCCCTCCTGCTCTATCTGAACAAAGAATGAAAAAGTGTCCTCGGGTGAGGATAAAAAAAAAAAAAAAAAAAGAGGGCAAGCATATGGCCCCCTTGACTCAACAGGAAGCTTGTCTGGGTCACAGATGGTAGGAGAACAAATGAAAAGAGCATTGTGGAAGCCTCTCTCTCTCTCTCTCTCTCACACACACACACACACACACACTCACACACACACACACACCTTTTTAGTTTGCTCTACATTTGTTAATGAGGCTCAGTTACTTGGGACTAATTGATGTCACCAAAAGAGATGTCACCAGACTGGGGCTGGCCAGGAACAACAACTCAGTTTGTATACTTTACTGCTTGGGGTACAGAGTGGAGAGGGGTAGAATGTTTTGGTGGAAATGCAGATATTTGTCCAAGAACTTAAAGTGAGGGGGGGGAGAGAAAAAAAATCCCCAGAAGGGCTCCAGGCTTGGCTCCTTCATGGCAAATGCTTGAAGCACTGTTTATTCCAATGTGTGATAACAAGCACCAGAAAACAACATGCAACATTCTCTCCCGTCCCCGGACCTGCAATCCCAGAGAGAGAGGAGACCTATGACCATGATAGTGGAGGGAATTCATGTTCAGGAAAGGTACTAGGTGGCAACCTGGCGAGGTCAGAGTTTACTAGGACAAAGGGCCCTGCCTGTTAACCTCCTGCAGCAGCTGGAGAAACCAGACACCTTCTTCTACCTCTGGCCTCACTAGGCAAAGTGGTGATGCCAGCCCTGGTTGGAGGGACATGAATCCTATGAGGACAGCCCAGTCCTTGGGCACTAGGCCTACCCCTGCCCTCTGGAGGTAATGAGGTGAAGTAGCCTTTCCTCTTAGGGAGAGAGAGGCCATAACCTAAATCAAGGCTCTTCTGGCTGAGCCAGCCTTTTGAGGAGAAAGAGCTTTCTCTGTTCCAGGGGAAGTTCTGGGCTAGGAGTCCTTGGCAGAAGTGCATACCCACCCACTCCCATTTCCTGAGTGAAGGGTCAGCTGCTAACTTCGGCCCCCAAATGAGAACACTTTATCCATCACATTTTAAATAAATTATAAATACGTACACAAAATCCAAACAAAGTTCCAGTAGAAGCTGCTCACAGACCCCTACAGGGGCCAGTTTGAAGAAAATGAAGGCCACCCCTTTGTTCTCTGTATCTTTGGAGCTGTAGGCAAAACTATTCTCCCTTGTCCTTGAGTAACCATGGGGACAGCTCAGGACAGAGAGAGGTTCAGACTTAGAAACACTCATCCCTGTCTCCTCTCTTCCCTCCTCAAATTCCTTCCCCCAAATAAAAACAACAACAAAAAATCTAAGTCTTGAACTGGATTCTGCAGCATTTGAGGGTGTAAATCTACCCCCCTGTGAAGGGGGGGGGTACTCAGCCCCAGGGAAGAAATGATTGGCTCAAAGGCAAAGGTCCTGACTCCTGGGTGCCCCAGTAATGCACATGTTCTTATGAATGGTGTTTAGGGAGGTGAGGTGGGAGGGGTTGACTCAGTCCTGAGCAGAGACTGGCACAGGGTACATTCGCCTTTGGGATGATAATGGGCTAATTGGCATTGGATTGGAAAATGTCTGGATTCAACCTTCTTCATCCTTCCCTGGGCAGTCCTATGGCCAGGACAGACTGGGTAGGAGCTGGGTAGGGGACAGATGGCCCTTACCTAGTTGGCACTGTGTCTTAGGCCCTGGGGTCTGGAGACAGACTGAAGGAGGTATCAGGAAGAGGAGACATACCAAAGACAAATATGAAACTGGGTCCCGAAGTGAAGAAGCACCAATAGCATCGGGCTGCCCTGGACGGGGTGGGGGTGTAGAGCCTGAGAGAGATGAGGAGGGAGGGCAAAGGGAGAGGGTGTGTCTTTTCTAAGGTGAAAAGGGGAAGTATAAAATAAGGGACAGAGAAGGAGCAGTGGTGGGGGTGGGGGCAGAGAATGAGGATGAAATAGGCCCATCCATCCATGTTCTGGGGTTCTTGGGCAACTTAGCCTCCTGATGGTCCTTTCAGCCCTTCCAAAACCCCTGTCTGGCTCCACAGGAATGAAAGGAAAGCCTAGCCAGACTTGGAAAAGGATCTTGAATGCCTCAGATCCAAGAGGCGGGGGGAGGGACATGGGCAGAGAGATTGGGGGAAGGCTGAGATGGGCATGCTCCTAGACCCCTCCTGTTGTGTCCCAAGTGTGAGCCAAGCCCACGAAGGAGGACAGAGAGGAAGGTAGGGAGTTTAGGGCCAGTGTGAGTTTAGAGTGTTGGTGGAAAGAGCCCCAGCTTGGAGGGGCAGGAGGACTGTGGGTATAGAAGAAACTGACACCTCAACAAATTTCCTGGCTTTAGTTTCTTGAATTTTAAAGCAGTTGCAATTTATCTGCTCCCCACTGAGTCTGAGGCCTCATCGGGACCCTCTGAAGGCTGTTTTCCAGGCTAGTGGGCCTCCCAGGTTCACACATGGTAGGCTGAGTGGCAAGCAGAGGACAGAGTGGGAAGCATATTGAGCTATGGCTGTCTAGAGATCAGTGCAGGCACGGGGCCTAGATGGCATCCATTGCAGAGGGGTCTCTAAACCACTGGTGGGCCCTCCATGCAAGGGACCAGGGAGAAGGCTGCCAGCCAATTTTCCCTTCCCCTACTTTTATTGAAGCTGGACAGGTTGATAGAGGTGGCTGCTAGGAACCAGTCTCAGGACTCTGGTCTCCTGCCCTCAACCCTCACTTGCAGCAGAGGCTGTGAGGGTCTGTCGACCCCAAGTAAGATGCCTAGGTCCAGACAGTAGACAAGAAGCACTGAGTTCCTGCCATCTGGGGTTCCAGCAGGAGGGGGGACAGGAAGCCACTGGGAGGGCTGCCCAGGTTTCCGACAGCTGCTGCCTGCCCATCCATCGGTGACTTCTCAAAGCTCAAAGCCCAGAATGGTGGGGGAGGGGAGTTGGAGAAGGAAGAAGAGGGAGGTCCTGGAAGCCGGAGGTGGTTGAAGAGGTGCTGTCCTGTTCGGGAATAGCTGGGTGGGGGCTGCTTACTGCTTCTCCACGGCTCCCTGTTCAGCTGCACTCTCTTGGCTGGGGCCCTGGCCCTGGTCCTGGCCCTGCCCGTGCCATGGGGTCTCCTTGAACACAAACCAACAGTTCCCAGCCCACAGGAAGAAGTTGATAAAGCCGAAGAGCTGCAAAGACATCAGGGGAGTATATGAGAACAGTAAGGGGGCATGGTGGGAACAGGGAGGGGAGTACCTGTGGTGGGGGACAGACAGGGAGAGGTACAGAGGGCTACAAAACTAAAAGAAAACTGGATATTGAGACAGAGTTCAAGGCCATCTCTCACTAAGGGGTTCTCTGGTGAAAGTGTCGAATTCTGTGTGCAGATGCACCCAAGAGGTGGCTTGGTCACTAGGAGACTCTAGCTCCTGGAGCGGAGCACTGTGCAGAGTGCAGCAAGGAGCAAGGGGCCTAGCCGCTCTTCCCTCAGCTCCTGTGGGGCCCTGTTCCTGGAGTCTTCTGTGGGGCGGGTGTGGCCAGAGCTGTCCAAGGTGCTCCTTCCCTAGGGTTACATTCAAATACTCAAAATATTTAAAAAACTATCAGCAGGAAGTATTTAGGGGGAAGTGTACTGATGCTTCGCAATTAGCTTTGAAACGCATTAAAAATCAGACAGATTGATAGATGGAGAGAGGCGGACAGGACAGATACGTGATAAAGCAAGTCAAGTAAAATGTTCATGGTACAGTCTAGGTGATGAGTATGTGGGTGTTCATTGTAAAATTCTTTCAACTCTGCTGTATGTGTGAAAATTTTTACAATAAAAGTTGTGGCAGGGGGAGGGGTGAAACCTATCAGCAGGATTCCAGCAAGGTCTAGAAGGCTCCCTGATGTGTCAAACATCAGCCAGTGGTTCTCAACCTTCCTAATGCCGCGACCCTTTAGTACAGTTCATGTTGTGGTGACCCCCAACCATAAAATTATTTTCGTTGCTACTTCATAACTGTAATTTTGCTACTGTTACATCTTAGGCGACCCCTGTGAAAGGGTAGTTTGACCCCCAAAGGGGTCACGGCCCAGAGGTTAAGAACTGCTGCATTAGACCCTTCGGTTGCTGGGCCTTGGGGAGGTTCAGGCCATTTTCAGGGTAGGGCTGAGGTGGTTGGGATGACAGGGGACATTAGAAAAGCTCAAGGGCTCAGCTGTTTACCAACTGATATGAAATATTTCAACTCTGTAACAACAGGGATGGCCAAAAATGTGCATGCCAGCTGGACCCACCACTTCCCAAAGCCCTTTTTCGGTCTAGAGGTCTGAGTGACAGTGAGCCCCGTCTCATGCACTCTGGGTCTGCTCCCAGCTTTTAGCATAGCCCAGGCCCTGGGCTCCCCTTCACACTCACACACATGCAGAGGCAGGAAGAGTTGGGCATGATGCCTGGAGGTGAGGAGGAGAGAAGGGCAATGGGGAGGCAGTGTGCAGAAGGAAGAAGGGACAGGAGGCTAAGTGGCTCTCAGGATCTCCCTATTCCAAAATGTCTTCTCGTGGTCCGCTAGGAGCCAGCAGCCAGCAATAGGCACAGGGGGCACTGACTCCAGGTGTAGAGGATACCAGCTGTGGGGACACACTCTCTGTTCTCCTCAGAACCTGCTGCCGGGACCAACCTGGGCAGCTGGGATAGTACTGCCTCCCCCAGACCCTCTGGTGGCCGCAGGTCTCACCACAGAGATGTTGACCAGGCCCATGGAGGGCGTGGCCCCGTCACTGCACACTGCTTCCTCTCCATGGCACACGGACATGGCTGCGGTCAGGCTGGATGGCTGTGTGGCCCCCTTGACGTCGGTCAGGCCCTTGCCCCAGGCAGCTGCAGCTACCAGCCAGAAGAAGGTGAAGGAAACAGTCACGCAGAAGTCCTGGGAGGAGCAGAGGGACAGGAAATACAATCATAGTCCAGGACTCCTTATTTCTTTCCCTCTTGCTATAACCCACTGGAATCCTGGGGTCCCAGGACAGTTGCCTCTTCCCATTCTACCTAGAGGCTCAGGGAGCCCGATTGTCTTCGGGAACCTGTTCACTGCCAGCAATCAAAGGAATCCTACCACCAGGACTACTCCTGCCCATGTCCTCAAGCTGAGGTCAGGTAACAATGGACCAAGTCATCTGCTGGTCAGTGTCACCCCAAAACCCAAGTGGCCTAAACTCCACACTCTCCCTTCCCTGCCTTTACTTTTTTTTCCCACATTTTTTTCCTTTTTTTAAACTTATTTTTCAATTACGGTTGACATATACATTATATTAGTTTCAGGTGTACAACATAATGATTGGACAGCCTAGCCTCTCCTTTGATCAACCACTGCCCAGCTACAACTTGGGAAACTGCAGGAGACAAATGGGGTCCCTCTCCACCCTGCACGCCTGGGTAGAGAGAAAGTAAAAGGGGAATAATATTAATAATATCTAACACTGCTCTGGCCGGTTTGGCTGAGCAGTTAGAGTGTTGGCCTGTGGTCCAGAGAGACCCGGGTTCGGTTCCCGCTAAGGGCATGTACCTCGGTTGCAGTTTGTCCCCGGCCCTGATTGGGTCGTGTGGGTGGCAACCATTCGATGTGTCCCTTTCACATTGATATTTCTCTCTCTCTCTTCCTCCCACTCTATCTGAACAAAAAATGGAAAAATGTCCTTGGGTGAGGATAAAAAAAATAGCTAACACTTAGCAAGGCTAACTATATACCAGACATATTACATAAATTTACATTTCATCCCCCAGAACACTATGAGATAGGTATTATTTTATTCCCATTTTATAGTTGAAGAAACAGGTTTAGCAAGAGTAAAGAACTTTTCCAAGAGCTAGTAAGGGACAGTGCCAGGATTTGAACCCAGGCAGTCTGAGTCTAGAGCCAGTTTGTGTTTTTTTTATGCTTTTATTGATTTTTAGAGAGAGATTAAGGGAGAGGGAGATAGAAACATCGAGCCCACAATCTGGGCATGTGCCCTGACTGGGAATTGAACTGGTGACCTCTTGGTACATGGGTTAACATTCAACCACTGAGCCACACTGGCCAGGCCCAGAGCCTGCTTCTTCATGCTATTGTGCCTCCTGTGAGGAGGCCAAGTGATAGGAGGTTGGCAGATGCAGAGTCCTGAGACTTGGGTCTTCCACTAGCCTCAGGAGCTGTGGGAGCCACAGTACCTGAAGGGGCCAACAGCAAAGAGCTGGCAGGTGTCAGGGAGCCAGGAAAGCCACCAACTCTGACCTCAGTCTCTCCACCCCATCCCTTCTGGCTTGTGTCCACTCACCACCAGCGGGAAGCGCTTGTTCTCTGTGTAGAGGTTGTGGAAGCGCAGGTAGAACACCAGCGCAGCCATGGTGTAGAAGAAGGAAAAGATACCCAGGGTCACGAAGAACTCGGCGGGGGCAGAGAAGTCCCCCAAGAGTTGCATGGTCTTGGAGGTGGACTCATCGTCACAGAGGGGCATCTCATACTGGACCCGGTTCAACCTGCAGGTGGCAGGGGAGACCTCCTGAGCTCCAGGCAATCCTGCCCTAGGGATCGTCTGTGCTCTTCTTACCCTGAACTCTTACAGAGCCAAGAAAGAGATGTGGAAAGAGGTATGTTCCTGGAGGGAACTTTACAACCAAGATAGGAACTTCCCTGGGATTCTGGCCACCCCACTCACTGGTCATCCCATTCAGCTGCCACCCCACACTTATCCGCCCTGCCCAGGTATGGTGACCCTGTATTTCCAAGACTCTCCAGGGCCCTTTGGGTCACAACCCCAATATGTACAGTCCATCTATTTCTGGTAGCCAAGCCACCAGAAGATCAGCTTCATTCTACCCCAGGGAAAGCACAGGCCATGCTGGCCAAGTTAAGGCTGGACTCACCCATTCCCAGGCCTTCTCTAGGCCCCAGTGAGACTATACTGGACAAAACAAAGAGAGGAAAACAAACATCCTAGTATATACAAGAGATAGTTAATCGAACTTGGCTGCTACTACTAGAAATTTCTGAAAAGGTGAGCCCTGTCCCCATTGTGCACTGAACACTTTGGCTCTCCCCAAATACCCACAAAAGACTATTCTCCTGGGTACCAGGTAAGCATCCATATCAACTCTTTGGGATCTAAGTACTAACAAGCTTCCTTACCTCCAAGGCAGGAAGGAGGCTGCTAAGGGTCAGAGAGACCTGTCTGACTTGTCCAGACTTCTGCAATCCTCCATGCCAAACTGCATGGGTTGTTTCTATAAGGCTGTTGTTACCTGCTATTGGTTATCTGTGGACTGGAACATTATTACAACCATGGTCTATCTGATTTCCCTTATGTTTTTCTCTGGTCAGTATGTCTGAAATTTCTAAAGGGCAGGAAGGACCCCAATCTGGAGTGACACACCACGAAAGGTTTGTAGGTGTCTGGAAGAGGAAAAGATCTAGCAGGTCCTCCAAGCCATTGAGAGAGTCTGTGCGGGTTAAAACCAATGCCGCTCACCTGAAGGGATAGCCGAACAAGACAATGATGGAGCTCACATCCTTGGCTTCGTTGTTGCAGCGAACCATTGCTCCTGTCTCCCCGCTGTAGGAGCCACAGCACCCGAAGGCGAAAATAGCAAAGAGCTGAGGGAGAGTGAAGCCCTTTGAGTCAGAAGGCCTCAATTGATTGAGGTCTATCCCTTCAAAACTACCCTCTGATTCTATGCAGTGCAGAGATTGGTGTGTGTGTGTGTGTGAGTGTGTATGTGTGTGTGTGTGTGTTCCCTTTAATCAAGTCTCTCTTGGGCAGAGACCCATGGCTCCCACTGTCTTCCAGCCTCAGGGTGCTGTTTTCAATGCACAGAGTGCTGGACCAAATAGCCAAATTAATAAGGCTGACTCTGAATGGTGTCTAAGAGGGAAGAGAGAAAAATGGATAGTTCCCAGATCTCCCCATTGGATGTGACCTTGGGCACCACAAGTAGCCTCCAGGTGATGATTTAGACTTTTGGAAACTTCTAGCTCAAAGTTGGCCTCAAATTTCCTTCCCAATAGAGAGGCACCCTGGAAACAGATTCCCTGCACCAACCTAGATTGGGCACACTTGGAGTTCTCTCCATTTCTCCTTTGAAGCCGTCATTGAATCTTGTTATTACCTTGTGACTAACTTCCAGTGGCTTCCTGCCTCAGTGAGGGCAGAGATGAAGGGGATAATTTCTGCCAAGCCTTCAGAGGGGCCAGGAGGGTAGGGGCTGTGCTGCTGTCCCACAGTACTGCCAGCCTACCCCCTCTTCCCCTAGCAGAGCTGGTTGGGGCAGTGCCAAGGGTCTTGGCTCAAACCCTGAGAAAAGCACCTTCCACTTGCCTTTCCAGCCTCCTCTATTTCCCCAGTGGTGTCTGCCTTTGTAATCAGTTGATGCTGCCATTTCTCAGGGTTAAGAACCAGAGGTGTTTCAGGCCACTTGAATTGTTTTCCTCTCATTTTACTAAAACTCCTGTCTTAAGTGAAATGAAATGCCCTCCTTCCATGACTTTCTTTTCTCCTTTTTAATTTTTACTTTTTTAAATTTATTGACTTGAGAAAGAGAGAGAGAGAAGCATCGATTTGTTGTTCCACTTATTTATGCATTAATTGGTTGCTTATTGGTAGCTTATCCTGTTAATTGTTTTCTGTATGCTTCTCTGTGACTCAGTCTCTTGGACATTAAGCACCTAGAAGATAGCTAATCCACACCCTCTCCCTGCACCCAGAATTGGAAATACAGTTGTGTGCACATTATTTGGCTAATGCTCAATAACGTCATGGAGTGAGAAGAGACCTGCATTAGGAGTCTAGAAATCTGGCCCTGTCGCAAATTAGCTGGGTGACCTCGCTCTGCTCTTTGAGTCTCAGTTTCCTCCCCTGTAAAATGAGGGGTTTGGAGGAGGTAATCTAGAGGCCTTTCCAACTCTGCAATTCTCTTACTTGCTGAGGATGAGGCTGCCTGTGTAGTGTTGGCAGGACTTGCAGCAGCTGCGCCTGGCCCCAGGGCAGCGTCAAGTGCCACAGCCCCGCCCTGCATAGCCTGTCCTGGCACATCTTCTCCATGTTGGAGCCATTGACCTGCCTTTAAAGGTCATAATGGGCACCTCTCTCTTTCTAGGATGTTTAGTTCATACAAGTAAGAACTGTCTCCATTTTTCAAACATTCAGGGAAGGAGACAGTATTACCTCTCTCCAATGCCTGAACAACCTCCTCCTCCGGATGAAATTTCCGAGGCTGCTATAGAGCACTGAGTGCTCATCTTCCTGACAAAGCTGCAAAGAAGTTGCCCAATGCCTCTTGTCATTACCCTTTACATACTCCCAGTCGCCTCCCTGGTGTCCCAGTGGAACTTGTCTCAGACACATTCTCTCATCTTTTGTCAGCTCTGTGCTTCTCTGATTGCTCTTAGAAGTTTCTTTATTCCTCTTGGCTTCTGATATCCAACTGGACACAATTAGGGTGTCACGTTCTAGGAAGGGCAGCACGATCGGATGTGTTTTGAACCATTGGCAGTTAGTCAGTGAAAGGCCCCAGATCAGTTCCCTGAGAATGTAGGGACAGTATACCTAACTTAGGGCAATGGAATGGGCAGTTATGAAACCTTCTCTTCACCAGCGTGTACTCTCTCTCTCTCTCTCTCTCTTTTTTTTTTTTTTGGTACGTGCCCCTAGTGGGAACCAAACCCAGGATTCTCTGGTCCGCAGGCCGACGCTCCAACCGCTGAGCTAAACCGGCCAGGGCTACCAGCATTCTCTTGAAAGGCACTTCTGACGTCTTCAGAAAGATGACATTTATTGAGCATCTACTATGTACCTGGAATTGCTCTAGGCACTAATACTTAGCAGTGAACAAAAGAGAAAAAAATCTCTGTCCTCATGGAGCTCATATGCCACAACAGTAACTACTAGTCAAGTATGCCTATTTAAATTTACGTTAATTCAAATTTAATAAAATTTAAAACTCAGTTGTTCAATCACACTAGCCACACTTCAAGTGCTCACTAGCCACATGTGACTAGCAGATGCCATACTGGATGACATATTATAGAATTCTTTCATTATCACTGAAAGTTCTATTATGTCTAGCTGACAACCTTGAGGTTCTGACAGTCCTGAACCCTGGGTATATTTTATGGGCAAATATACCCATAATAACTTTCATCCTAACTGTGTCCTCTTCTATTCTGATTCTGTGAAAGTCAGGAATCTCTAAAGACCATAAAGAACACTTTATTAACCAGAATATATGATTAAGTCTGAACATCACAGTCAGCTGGTGCCAGGTAACAGATGGTTTGCTATATAAGTGAAGGAAGGGAGAACTTGGGGGAGAATCTCACAGGTTCACAGAGCAGCTGAGCAAAAAGGATCTCAGATATTATCAAGTGCCATGGTCTCATTTCAAGGAGGTGGAAACTGAAGTCCCAGAATATTAAGTGATTTTCCCAAGGTCACACTTAGCCAATGTGAGAGCCAGGCTTAGAATTTACATATCCTGATTCCCTGCCCAATGCTCTTTCTACTGCATTCATTCATTTATTGACAAATTGCCTTTGAGTATCTACTTTGTGCCAGGTACACAAAGGTAAATAAGGCTCTGCTTGCTCGTAAGAGTTTTCATCCAGAAAGGAGAGTGTCATGCTCACACAAACAAATAAACACCCTGCATCACAGAGTTACTAAGGTTAAAAAAAAGAGATCTTGCCCTGGCCAGTTTTCTCAGTGGTTAGAGCGTCGGCCTGTGGACCAGAGAGTCCCAGGTTCGGTTCCCACTAAGGACACGCACCTCAGTTGTAGTTTGTCCCCAGCCCCAGTGGGGTCATGTGGGTGGCGACCAGTCATTGTGTCTCTCTCACATCAATGTTTCTCTCTCTCTCTTTCCCCCTCTCTCCTTCCCACTCTATCTGAAGATAAATGCAAAGAAAATGTCCTTGGGTGAGGATAAAAAAAGAGAGAGAGATCTCTACTACGTGCAGAGAAGATTGTATGGAGGGAAGGTGTAGTTCTGACCTGGGATGCAGGAACACAGAAAGACACCCCTCCACCTTTCTGCACCTATTTTGCTTTCTTCTCTAACTGTGCCAGATGACTGAGCCACAGGGATGAGCGGGAAAGGACTGAAACCACCACTGTCACCAAGCACAAGGCTCTGAGTTGAGCCAAATGGTCATAAAGAACAGGAACCAAGGAGAGATGAAATTCCTGAGACAAGGAAGGGGTGGGGTGGATCTCTGGAATTATGGTGCCAACCAGCTTTCCTCCTCTTGGATATGCAATGCTGGGGATACTGATGACACTGCCCACAACCTCCTCTTCCTCCTGCCTCTGCATCTCCTTTGGAATGATGTCAGAGTAGCCTTGCCAGTTTAAGGCTGTAACTCTACTTGGGTGCTAAGTTGCTTGTTGGGGATACTCCTGTGTCAGTCCCAAGAACACTAACATCCCCAGTTAATGCCAGTGTTCTAACCAGGAAGACAAGTTCTCCCCCCAAATCCTATTTCCACCATCATCTCATTGGTTTCATGGGCTTTGATGGGTTGCTTTCACATTCCGAACACTTATTGAAATATCTGCTTTTTATTACAGAGACCCCAAAGCCAAATAAGTGATTGTGGCACCTCAAAGGTGAATTATAGATCTGGGGTAAACCCAGTTAACGATAATATGACTTCTTGTGGCAACAGTGACTCAGTAATCCAGGAGATTCTTTTGTATCTTACCCTCAAAGTGAGGATTTGGCAGTGACATTTGAATAATCTCACCAAAGGACAAGTCTAACTGACAGTCTGAAAGTTAGGGGACAGGGAGGTTTGGGAATAGGAAGGAAGGGAACCAACACTTATGGAATATTCCTTAGACTGCCAGGCTCACCATGGTCTTCCTGAATGCTCCAATGCTTTACAGATATTACCTCCTGAAATCCTCCCAGTCAGCCCATAAGAGATCTTACCCTCATTTACAGATAAGAAACTAAGGCATAAAGTTTGATCACTTATCCTAGGTTCCACGGCTAGAAAGCAGAAGAGACTGGATTTCAACCAAAGCCCATCTGACCTCAAAGTCTGCCTTTCTCTTTAAAAAAAAAAAATTAATTCTCCAACAACTGGTCTATGCCCACATTATTTCACTAGCTTAGTATAGATTTAGCGAGACCAGGATTTGAATAGAGGTGAGATGAATTTTTGAATTTTAAAGACACACTAAACCAAGTTCCTGACTAATAAAAATATAACATTACTTTCTTCTCACCAGGATTACAGTAAAACCTTTGCTTTTGGCAATAACGACAACAAAAGTTTTCAATTATCAAGATTTGTGGGGTTTTTGTTGTTGTTGTGTTGTTTGTTGTTGTTTTTTTCTTTTCTAATCAGAAGCATTTGATCCCTCCAAGCAGGAAATGAGTGAAAATCCCAAATGACATTTCACTGTCATTTCTGGTGCTAGTTTCTATGTACTTTTACATTAGCTCATCTGCAGAGACTCAGGGTAATGAAACACGCTCTGAGGATGGCAGTAAAAGCAAATCAAGTCTCCTTAAGATGCTGCCCTTCTAATGAAGGTTGAATTCACATTCTAGCCTTGGGCCCCTGGATTTAGCACTATGGGAGAAAGGCATATCTGCTCTCTAAGAGATTGCAGATCATAAAAAGGTCATCAAGATGGGTCAACTCTTAGGAATCAGTACTGAACTTGGAAGAAGACTGGATCATTCTCCTAGGCATTGCTTTGTGCAGCCTTTGTAAAAATGTTGCATGTATTGGGGGCAAGGGGTGGGGGAATAGTTGAAAAGAAGATAGAAGGGTTGAAGAAGGAAACTACAGAATCTCCCCTTGGAAGATGATTCCATGGTCTAATAACCTCATTGTTTCCCTCATCCCTTGACAGTCTTTCTCAAATTTCCCTTAGATCCATTTGTCTAGTTTAATGATAAAGTTGTACTCTTATATTTCAGGCTCTGCTCCTCCAGATCGCACATAATGGCTCCCTAGTTCTAGATGGCAGTCACAAGGAGCCTGAATATCATTCTTATATGGCCCTCTCCGGTACTCAAGTGGTGGGTCAGAACAGGAAAGTGGGAGGAGGTGAAAGAGCTCAGTCAGCAGTTTATCCAACTGCTCTTGAGGCAACAGGGAGAATGGAAAGTCCCCACTGGGTCCCAGAGTTTGCACTTGGAAGCTCTGCAGGCTGGCTAGTGGCCCCAGTCAAGGTCTCAGATATCCAGAGATAACCCCAAATGCACTATTGTCCCTGTATTCCAGATTTGATGAATCTCATCCAAACGATGACTTAGGAATCAGTGACACTGTGTTAATTCCTGTCTCCACTGAGTTAAAAGCCCTTTAGAACTCAATCCTCCTTAGTATTAATGGTAACTTACTCCCTAGCTGAATTCTGTGCTGAAAGCACATTAATAAGTTCTCACACAGCATTTGGTGTGTGGATGGCCTAATTAAAATCTCTTCTGTGATAGTACACTAAATGCTCCCAATATGTCTTTATGATTTGAAAGACTGACTGCACCTGTCCACATTCCTAACTTATACTCAGGAGGCCTTGGACACTGGGAAGGACAAAGAGCATGACAGTGCCTCAAACTACCAGTGAAGCAAGGAGAATGTATTTCCCCTAGACCATTACAGGAGAAACTGAGGCCTGGGCAGGTGATTTCTTCAAGGTCACAGGGTAAGTCTAATGAAGGGCAATATTCTAGCATGCCAACCCATTTAGAGCAGAAGAGGACCCTAGGGTTGTTATGATCAACATTTGACTAATGTTGGAAACTAAAGTCCAAAGAAGTGACTTGCCCAAGGTTACATGGCTGGAAAAGGCAGGTCTGGGTCTGGAACCCAGGGCCCCAGCTTCCCAGCATAATGGTCTATATTATTCTACAAGCCACATTTTGGCCACACTGAGATTTTTATTCTATCTTTTTTTTCTGTTATTTAATCCTGGAGTCATGAACTCCATTCATTCATCCATCCACTCCCTCACTCAGTTACAGGAACCCAGATTACTCTAGTGACGTCAACAGGGCAACCGCCAGCCAGGACCCTGTTCCCTGAGTGCACCTGCAGGATCAGCCAGGTCCTGTTGGGTTTGGGTGCAGATGGTTTCCATCCTCTGCCTCCTTCCCTCCTCTGCCCTCCGTGGCGTTCGTCATCCCCTTTGTCCTCCTCCCCCTCCTGCCACCGAGGAGTGGTATGTGCAGGATCAGAGTTCTGGAAAGGTTACACCCGGGTCCTCTTGCCTGTGTGAAATGTGAGCGCCTTGGGCAAAGGCTCCTTGCACATAGAAGGACCGAATCCCAGACTCCGCATGCCTCACTTCTCACCCTCCTGCCACCAAGTGCTGGAGAAGCAACGGCAGCCCGCCCCTCCCCCGCCCACCTGTCGCCGCCCCCCACCCTTCCGCGGGCTGCGGGCCGCAGGACCTCCCCCCCCCCACTCCGGCCACATTGCTTCGGGTCAGCGTCACAGCCCATGCTCCCGAAATAGCCCACGGTTTGGGCAGCAACTCACCCACTGGAGAACTTTGATGAAGCCCAGTGGCTCCTCCAGCCGCTGCCAGCGCAGCCCCACGAGCAGTTGGTCCACCTGCGAAGACAGGGAGGTCCAGGGGTCAGGGCGGTGGAGAACCCCGAAAAAGCGCTGGTCCCCCTCCTCCTACCCACACACAGGAGAGGGCACAGAATAAGGGTCCCGACACCCAGGAGGAGAAGGGCGGTGAGAGAGCCCCAGGGGCGCGTGGGGAGTACCTGCTGGCGCGGCGACTTGTCCGCTGGGCGACTCGAGCTCTCGGTGGAAGACATTCTGGCGCAGCGGGGCCCGGGCGCGGCGCGGGGGCTCTGTTCCCTGGCCCGGAGGCTGCGGGGGCCGCGGTCGGGCGGGGGGCTGCTGACCAGCGGCGGGGGACGCGAGCGGCCGGCGGCGGCCCGGGATCCAGGCTGGCGGGGTGGGTCGCGGGGGCGCTACTGCTTGCGCTCGCGAAGATCGCGGCCGCCGCGCTGCCCCTCCGGCTGCAGAAAGCCCCCGAGTCCGATTCAAACTTCTGTCAAACTCGGTAGCGAACTTGGCCGCCCAGTCACGTGGCGTGCGCTCGGGAATTCTCTCCTCCCGCCCCCTGCGCCCCTTTCTCAGCCCGCAAGGCTCCTTAAAGGGACCTGTGGCCTCTCCTGGGCGTTTGGCCGCGAGGGGGCTCAAGTTCTTTGCCAAAAGCCTCCAGGGCCAGACCCAAGGGAAACACCAGGACTTCTCCAACCCACCCCCAAAGTCAGAAACTAGTCTGGCGCTGGGATGCACCGATTCCTAGCATATCTTTCCCTATTTCCCTGGATTTGGAGCCGTTTTTTATTTCGTCCACATCGCAATACGCAGAACCGAAAGGATTTTAACAAGGCATTATCAGTGCTGAAATCTAAATCTAAGGTTACAAATCTAAGGTTAACAAATCGCTCACTTCCAAAATCTCGGAGAGCCAATTCAACCGAAAAGGGCAACGGAATATAAATTGCTCATTTTTTATTCTGTCGTTAAGCGTTGCTTTTAATCTTTTAACAACAAAAGGCATTTGTATGTCATTATTTAAAAATTATTAATCTTTTAAAATTATAAACTCAATCTCCTTTAAAATAGCCATCACGAGTTAAATTAGAGTGAAAATAAAGTCTGAGGAACTAGGGGGCTCAGAGAATATAATTTGTAATGAAAAGTTGGCGTTGTTGCCCTGGCCGGTTTGGCTCAGCGGTTAGAGCGTGGGTCTGCAGTCCAGAGAGACGGGGGTTCGGTTCCCGCTAGGGGCACGTACCTCCGTTGCAGTTTGTCCCTGGCCCTAGTTGGGTCATGCGGGTGGCAGCCACTAGATGTGTCCCTTTCACATCGATGTTTCCCTCTCTCTCTCTTCCTCTCTCCCCCTCTCCTCGGGTGAGGATTAAAAAAAAAAGTTGGCATTGTTAAATCGGTCCCTAACTTTGAAAAAGTGTTCAACCCCAAGTGAGCACTGAAAAATTTTATACATTCGGGTTTGTAACTGTGCCTTAGGAATATGACTCTGGCACCAACTGTATCAGTGATGTAAGCATATAGCTTTCCTTCTTAAAACAACCAAGACCTTTCAAGGCTTGTGCCAAGGATATTTCAGAAAGCAGAATTTCTAGGCAGAATGACATGTCTCTGAAATTGAATTAACAAGATTCAGAGGCTACTCTGCGAGTCAGGGAAGAGGGAGCCCTGAATGCATTACTGTTTCTATATTCTACTGTACTATTTTTAAGCACTGATATTCAGGTATTTTTGTTGGTGTAAGACCATTATCTTAGAAAGTGGTCAGCACTTAGCTCAGTCTTCAAACCCTCCTTTCTTCTCCTGCCCAAACCCCTCCTCATCACTATCACCACAAGCCCTCCCATCCTCTCTTTACCACCCAGTTCCAGCCTCTTCCAAACTCCTTCACCCTCTACTACATTCAGCAAAAATGCTGACCTAGGACTCAGCAAGAGTAGCCTTTGAAGTAGGAAAGCTCCACATAGGGGATGGGGAAGAGTCAGACCCAGCTAGATCCATCTCTCTTGGGCTCACAGGAGAGAAATAATTTTCAATCAGAGGCAGTAGTCCTGAAAACTCCATGGGGAGCTTAACTAGGCAGGAACGTCTAGAACTTTTCCAGGCAAGCTACATCAGAGATGTTGTATGTGTGAGTGTGTGTGTGTAGGGGCAAGGGAAAAGTGGAGAAAGCAGTGAAGTTGCAGAAAGCCACAGAGCAAGTGGTGGCCAAAAAGACATTTTGCGAGGTGTTCATCATTTTTGTTTTAAAATGTGTTAAATCATATTTACTTTCATTAACTAAAAAAATTTATAAACTCATGTGAAAAATAAAACCCAGTATTTTGGCTTTGCAGGAAATTGAAACAAAAAAAAATTAATATAGTCCTGGTCAGTTTGGCTCAGCAGTTATAGCATCAGCTCTCGAACCAAAGAGTCACGGGTTAGATTCCAGTCAAGGGCGCTTACATTCCAGTCAAGGGCGCTTACTTCGGTTGTGCTTCTATCTCCAGCCCTGGTTGGGGTCATGAGGAAGGCAAACAATTGATGTGTGTCTCTCACATCTCTCTCTCTCTCTCTCTCCCTGTGTCTCTCCACCCCTCCTACTCTATCTGAGATCAATGGAAAAATATCCTTGGGTAAGGATTAAAAAAATTAATAATATAGTTTTGCTCCAGTATTGTAACTACTCACTGAAAAAGGAATCAAAGATGGTTTAAAGTGTGAAAGACTGTTGAGGACAGTTATAAAAATAGGGAATGTGATCAGTACTATCAGATATTGTACTGTACTGTAGATATGGTGTTATGATTAGGGTCCCAAGTGTTTTCATTTTTTAATGAGAGAAAGAGAGAGTGATTGATTTTGTAGTTTTCCTTTACCTTCCTTTGGTATCAACACCAAATACCAAAGCACTGAATTTTATTTCACTAAGTGTTCAGAATTTATAATATTTAAAAGAATCAGTGAAACTGCTAATTCACATGCCTCCAAACAAAAACCTTCTTCTATTGTTGCTTCTAATGTGTTTGATCAGAAAACTAGATGAATTAGTTAAGACTCTTTCAATGCAAACACCAAACTCAAACAGGCTTAAGTAAAAAAGATAATGTATTGCTTCCTTTAACTGAAAGGTCCAAGAGTTTTAGTCATGACTGGGTCTAGGGCCCCAAATGATAACATCAGAGCTGGGTTCTATCTCTCTGTCTCTCCATTCTCTGCTCTGCTCTCCTCTACGCTGGTTTTGTTTTCCAGCTAGATTCTCCCCCATGATAGCCCACATCAGTCCAGCCTTTCCCCTTGACCTAGCAACCCCAGGAGAGTTTCAGGCAAAGTTCTGGGCAGGGTTTTCAATAGCCCAGATTGGGCCGCATTCCTAATTCAGAATCAATCACTGTGGCCAAGGAACTGGCCAGATCTTGGTCATGTGCCCATTCTTGGACCTTGTGGGTAGTACCAGTCTTACCCAAACCACAAAGCTGAAAATTAGCGATAACTAATTTCCCCAAAGGAAAATCCAGGTGCTTTTGCCTAAAGAAATAGCGAACAAACAAAAACAACAGATGTTCACTACTTCAGATAACTAAACCTGTTAGAATTGAATCTAGAACCATGGCAAATAGGCTCTAAGTGAGGCCCTAAGAATGTTTCCCATGAATAAAGTCTATGAACCCCTGATATATAAACTTCATGACAGTGTTTTGGTAGTTTCCGGTAGTTTTGCAGAGCTCAGGGCATAGGGACATTCTTTTGAAGAATCATCTTCCTCTGTTCACTCTTTAAGTGTGGTCATTTCTTAGGGTTTTATTCTCTGAGTAATTGCCATACAAATGATGTCTGGAGAAGATGAATTGTACCATAATCTGACAAGCTACATTTCTCTCTTTCAGAATTACACCAGCAAATCACTAGGTTGCAAAAAGAACCTCACAGGATACTGAAGCCCAATGGAGTACAGACAGACTAACACAAATGTAGAATTTAAGAACTAAAGGAATCTGGGATTGCTTTCCAGAATGCAGCTAATTTCAAAATGAGGAGTCAATTGAATAAATATCAACTGACACTGTTTCTTTTTATTATTATTATTTTTATTTTATTTTTAGGGGGGAGGGGAGAAGGGGAAGAGGAGTAAGGGAGGGAACTTGGGGGAGGGGGAGGGGGGAGAACAACTGAACACTGTTTCATTACTGCTTCCACAGTATTCATTTCCCCAGTTTTCCAACAGTGTCTAGATTTTGCTTAAGGCAAGCCATTCATGGCCAAATGGTGTGGGTAAGATAAACCTTATCTCTGGTTTTAGAAATAGTCTCTGATTGACTTATGACAATACTCCTGGTCATGGTAATTCATTTAAGGATGAGCATATGACCCAACCCAGCCAAATGGACATCTATTTGAATGTACAAAAATCAGTCTCTCTCTCTCACTGGATGTAAATCCATGAGCACATAACTTCAGGAACTACTGGCAACCATCTTGCACCAGGAAAAGAGAGTTTGCTGAGAATGAAGCCAGTCTTGAGAAAAAGTGAAAGAGAAAAGCCAGATCCCGGTCACATTATTTGAGTTGCTGGATCAAGCCATACATGAAACCATACACTTGTGGTCTTTGGGTAATGTGTACTAATAAATTCCCTTTACTTTTAAAAGTCAGTTTGAGTAGAACTATTACCTGTTATTCTGACACCAACCCCAACAGTAATACAGTTCTGGAGTGTCACACTCCACAGATTTAAGGGCAGAGTCCTTAGCAAGACTGCCTTTACTTCAGGTGTCAGCTACACTTTAAGGACCCCAGGCCTCTCACACTTCTGACCAACTGGTGAAAATTCAGGAATTCCCATGATCCCCTCAGGTTCAATAACCAGCAAGAATGACTCACAGAACTCTCCTTGGCCGGTTTGACTCAGCAATTAGAGTGTAGGCCTGTGGACCAATGAGTCGTGAATTCGGTTCCGGTCAAGGGCAGGTATCGCCTTGCGGTTGATCCCCGTAGGTCATGCAGGAGGCAACCAGTCGATGTGACTCTATCACGTTGATATTTCTGTCTCTCTCTCTCCCCCTCCCTCCCACTCTATCTAGTGACCTTCCCAGCACACCTGTGTTTACTAACCAGGAATTCCTCTGAGCCTTGGTGATCAGACATTTTATTGGGATTTTATTATGTAGTCATGATTGAATCATTGGCCACGTGATTTAACTCAATCTCATTGTTAGAGATGTTTCCTCAAGCTCTTCCTCTGTGAGTTCTCTAGAAATTTGATTATTTAGGTCTGGAGCTCAAGACAGAGGTAGGGATGGAGAAGCAGATAC